ATGAGCCAATGAAGATGTTCTCAGAGCTGTCGCTTAGAGCGGTGGCTCTCAATCTTTCCAGTCTACTGTACCGCCAAGTTTCGCCTCATTTCAAAACTACTTGCTTATAAAATCAGACATAAAATACAAAAGTGTCACAGCACACTATCACTGAAAAATGTCTTACTTTTACATTTTACCTTCTTATTATTATTAAATAAATCAATTGGAATATAAATATTGTACTTACATTTCAGTGTATAGTATATGGTATAAACAAGTCACTGTCTGCATTAAATTTTAGTTTGTAGGGACTTCACTCATGCTTTTCATGTGGCCTGTTGAAAAACGAGGCAAATATCTAGATGAGTGGATGTACCCCCTGGAAGACCTCTCTGTACCCCTGCTTGATCACTGACTTACAGGTTCATAGAACCTATAATGGCTTTGTATAGAAATAAAGTAGACAAAGCCCATCTTGCTTATCCTGGGCATACTTGTGTATTGACTTCAGGGGCAAGATTACCGGGGGGAGGAGGGGTCACAAAGTCTGAGGAGGCTGTTATCCCGACCACAGGGTCACTTTTTGCATTTCGTTTTTTGTCACTAAAGGATTCAGTTGCATCCTCCCTGCTGGAAGCTGAATGCCGAGCGTCAGTCCGTGAATATTAGATTGCGGTGTTCTGAGCTTCGGTTTCTGTCTCCTCCGGCTGCGGTTTCTGGTTGAATCCCAGCTGGCCCAGACTCGAGCTGAAGTAGGAGGAACCGCTGTCGAGTGAAAAGTGCACATTGTGTGATTGATGAACTCTTAATCGAACCAATCCCCCCTTCCTCCCCCGCCAGCCCCGCTCCCAGCAAGGACCACAGCCTGCCCACTGCAACTGCTCGCTTGGTAATGGAGAGTTGTTGTCTGTTCAGTGATTAACTTGATATCTAGTCTCCAGAAGTGTCAGGGGCCAACGTAACTCTGGGCTAGCCCATCTACCGACTTTTAAAAATATAGGTTGTGGGTTCATAAATATATAATAGCACGTGGTCCTAGAGCCAACCACCACGGCCCGCTAATTGTACACGTAGAAGAAACCGGCTTTTCGTGCCGCCTGTCTGCCACAGAGCTATTGTTTCTAGCGAGGGATTTCCAACCTTCCCTTGGATAGACGCTGGCCAGCGTTAATGCAGTTCTTCTGAGACTATAGAGTATTTGCTGTGGCTTTCATTGTGTCTTATTATTGGCAGTCTTTGGTAATATAAAGAGACAGGAACTAAAATTGAGTGTCCTTGTCTCTTTTCTTCTTCTTCTTCTTCTTCTTCTTCTTCTTCTTCTTCTTCTTCCAGCTTTTATTTAACTGCTCAGACATCTTTCTTTACCAGCAAGAGCCAAATTAGTCTGTTGTAGAATTTGAACCAGAAGGCAGAATTTCAACAATTTGCATATTGCAGAATGTGGATCAGCCAGGGCCAAATCATGCTTGAGCTCAGCGGATTCAGTGGAGCTATTAGCATAAATCCGGAGAGCAAAACTGGGCCCTAACAGTGACCCTTTTTTGCTATATGTTCCTTTGTTCTTGTTTAATTCTCGCTGAATTAACTTTTGCTCATGAATCTACCTTCCAATCAATGTCAGATGGTTTCCTTGGTTTTCCACCGGGCTGACTGAGTGCAAGGAAGTCTGCTTTGTGCGCTGGTTTATTGCTTTGTGCGCTGGTTTATTACTTACAAACAATTCACTACCGGGGTTTTAAAATTAGCCCCCGCTCTTTAGCCCCTTCTACATCAATAACTTTTGCAGGGTTTTACAGCGATTTACATGCCAGCTCTGCAACCCTGACCTTATTGGCACACTCTTAATAGATAGATTTTTAAGACTGTTTGTTTGGCAGGGTTGTCTCCCTCCAGCTTCCTCTTTATGTTGCTGCTGTGCAAATGATTTGATATTTATTTTACCCTGATCCCTCCTGCTATTTTAACTCCATTCGCCAAAACTTGCCACGTCCATCTCTTAGACCTGAGTCCGTGCCAAATCTGCTGCAGCCTTTTCAGAGGGTTGCGAAGTCTGTTCCAGCATCAGAGGAGCCAGTTCCCGCAGTCCACGGGGCCTTAGCATTGAAAAGGAACGGCAGCTTGCAAGCCAGAGAGTGTGCAAACATAATGCGGGAGTGGCAGGATGGCTTTGAAAAGCCAGGGCTTTCAAATCTGGAGAGCTCCCGCCAGTTTTAGTGTGAGGCTGTTACTGATGCGTTCTTCTAACGAGCAAGCTAGGGAGCTAATCATAAATACATCGGAAGGAGACTCAGAGTATGATGAACCCTGCAACAGTAGACATTTTAGTGATGTTTCTAAAACAGATATAAGCGTCAGACACCGGTTATAAAATCATCTGGGGGGAAATAAGGTTCCCGGCGTCAGCTATATGAGATAACTGTTTCATGCATTATTTCTTTTTCTATGGGCTTGCATTGTATTTTCCTACGGACCATTTTAAGATGCACTACCAAATACAAACAGAAAGAAAGGGTTTCCAGAAGAAGAGGACCACGTGATAGGCAGGATACCGGGATATAAAGAATACCACTTCCACATTTATTTCCAAACAACAAGTTACAGGAATTGTGCCTATAAAATATTAAAGTAAACGATGTGGAGCTATTAGCACAGAGATTATGACAAAGTCCCCAGCCAAAAGATTGGATGTACAGATAGGTATTTCTCCGAGCTTTGTCAAATACAGATAGGTCATGTGGTCATTTACAGAAATTTTAGTCTCCAGAATTTTTCTCTAACCCTCCCCCCCGTCCCCCAACCGAGAGGACATTTAAACTAACTAGCTGCTTTCCAGGGCTTTGCAGAAAAGTCTGCTGCTTTTGCAAGGGTCCCTCTGTTGAATGTGAGCTGTGTAGGAGCCGTATCAAGTGGGATGAAGGGAATAACGCTTAGTGAAGGTGGTCAGTAGACATGCTAAATATCTTGCAGAGTGACTGGTTATTACCAGCCCGTAGAGCCTCAGACACCAATTCTTTCTCTGGTATAAATGATCTTTGCGGGGGGAGAAGGAGTTGATCTTTACAGTCCCTACATTCAAAGGCATTTGCTGGTAACGCACAAAGGGTATCTGTCTTTATTTTTCCATGATATGGTTTAAAGGCAGGTTCTCGTTTTCTTTTAGCTTGTTCTGTGGATGCTAATGGAGTTTTCCGGGTCTAACTGGATGGCTGTGTATCAGAATAGTACAAACAAGTGATCGCTCTCCTGTAGCTTTGTGGCGATCAGGACTCTAAGCAGTCTTTGTACCGATAGAAAATAATATTACAGCGAAAAGAGCATTGAGCATAATAAGTGATGATAAGCACTAGTCCAGCCTTTAAATCAGCCTCAGTATACAGGAATATCCCATTCAGTTCAGTGTTTCTATGACCACTGAGGTCGCCTAACTACAGTGTGTAATTCAAAAACAAACAAACAAAAAAACCACCCAGGGAGGAGGTACTTCAAGGTGTAATTTCGGAGTTCTTTTTCCTGTGCACAGCTCCGTTTGAAATGGTAAATAATAAGTGGGTTATACTGGACAGAAGATTACCTGCTTCTTACATTCAAAAATAAAGGAGCTTTTTAGGTCCCATTTATTGACTTCAGTGGGGCCAGGATTTCCCGCGGTGAGTTTTGCTACTGACTATATATGGACTAGGATCTGGCTCTAAACCTTTTACTTTAGTTTATTACTAATTACAAGAGGTCTCCACAATCAAAACGCTTAAATAGAGGTCACATTGTTCCCTCAGCTCCACACTAAATATCTTCCTTTAGCAGGAATTAATCCCTATCAAATTAATCGCCCCCCTTCGCTCAATGAATAACCCAGCAGAGATAGCAGGCACAGTCACTGATTAGGTTCGGGTTATTTGTTTAAAACTCTCAGTTTCTCTGGTTGTTATTTTGAATGCCATTTTTAATCAAACAAATAAACAGCGAACGCTATTATAATAAACTCATTGGGGCCTGATCCAAAGGCAAGTGAAACCAACGGGAGTCGTTCCATCGACTTCAATGGGCTTCGGGTCAGACTTTAAGTAGCCTGACATACAACGAAGCCATCTTTGTCTCTTCCTCAGTAGCACGTCAGAAGGGGTTGTTTGGTCCCGCTTAGAAATGAATTTTCAGGGCTGATGAATTGTCTGTGACTGTCACTGTACCAGGCGTTATTGAAATGATGCCGACAGGAATTGAAAGACCAACTTCAGCCTTCCTGACCTGGTTTGCTGCTCTTAGGCTATTGGTTTCGCGGGAGGTTGGGAGGGAGGTTCATTCCTGGAAATGAATGAAGGTTTGGAGCCTCACACAGCTCAGCCCTTGCACTCGTGTTTTGTTTCATCTAGGTTACCATGGCTCAGAAAACTAATTGCAGGCTCAAAGGGAACTGAATGCATGTTGAAAGTGAAAGCGGGTTGTATAATTTATGAAGGTTTAAACTGCGGGCCAAGGAAAAGGAGGGCTTATGCCAAAGTGTCTCTCTCTTAGATTGCTGGTGCTTGTACAAACACTGTAAAAATGCCAACACTTTAGACAAGGTAACATTACTTCCCATAATTAGGTTGTGACCATGGGGTTCTATCGCAGTTGCATCAGATTTGCCTCTACCAGAATAAACCAGAAGAAACGGAATTTATTTATCACCTGACCCCTCTCCCACCTCACCTCCCACACACAACAGTCAGAACATTCGGAGAAAGAGATTTGCAAGCTTTGCCCCCAGGACATACAAAGATATGATATACCAGTGCTCACTGGTAACATTATGTTTTTATTCTAAAGCACTTTCTTCAATCCCCCTTTTTTTTAAGGGGAAGTGTATAATAATTTCCCTGGTTACATGAATTTTAAATAAACTAATAATAATATAACCCAGCCCAGACACTATGTGAAGTCTAGCCCATAAAACATTAAACAGTAGACAACACTTGGATTGTAGACACCCGCAGACTCAGAAAATGCACGTTGAGTAACATAAGATACTATAAAATGCCAAATGGAATACACTGATTATTCATTTTTTATTTATAGGCGGATGACGTGAAATATACTTTAGCCTGAAGAACATAAAACTAATCTACATGTACCAGTTCAGTTTTTGATCTATTCCCTGCAAACTGTAACACAAAGCATTGGATCTGTATAATTCACGAATAGAGATTATTACTATTTATTTTATTGATTATTTATTTAAAATATTAATAGCTTAACTCTGACGAAATAATCGATGTGTGTGTCATAGAAAACAATGGTAGGTCTCGAAGTGGTTAAAATATGTCTTCGCTCAAAGTAGTTTATTCTGTTTTGTTTACAGATCTACAACACGTATATTCAAATCTGCTGGGGTAAAAGTTGAAACTTAACAAAAGGATACACTTCTTTTCTCAGCGTAACGTGACACTTTAAAAAACAACACAGAGGGAAAACTAAATAATATTTCGAAACATTGTTGTCCAGCGAAACACAACGATCAGAAAATAAAGATTTCCCGTGTTGACCAGAACTCTCGGAGTTAATATTTCTCACACTAGGAATTCCAGGTCTTGTCATCAGGGGATGGCGCAGGGGCGGCAGTTACTTGTCAAACTAAAAAGTGATGCGTCGGGACGATTTTGCTGGGAATACAGAAGATCTGAATCTTAACTGAGCATTTTTAAAGGCGGTAAGAATAACGTCTTCCTGGAAGGACATGTCTGGTTACTAACCTTGCTAATACCATTTCTACGTTTACAAAATCGTTGTAAATCCGGCAAGAGATTAAACACAGTTATGTAAATAAAAAGGAGGAAACAAGATGTTTGTTTCTTTTATGAAATAGTCTGTTAATGGCAGTAAGATTTGTTTTCACAAGGAATATATCAGTGTCTGCTACAGAAGATTACGCGGATGGAGATAACTTTCCTAACTGAAAGCTATTGTGGAATAGTTTGTTTACCTACTACTGTACCTCAGTTTCTACACTTAGCGGCTTCCTTTCATTTGTATATATTTGATTGTCAATTTTCTTTCGTTTTTTTTAAATGCGCGAAATTAAGCTCGGGCTTCCAATGGTGTCTAAAAAAATTGATTTATGGTTAGTATAAAGACAACAGTATAAATAACAAAGGAGACGGGCAGCTGCAGCTCGGATTGCTATGGAAACCCTAATTAAATTATCACTATTAGGCGGTTTCTATTTTTTGTTTTGTTTTGTTTTTGCATTCTAAGCTTTTTCTATTTCAGATAGTTAGAATGTAATACCAACAAAATAGCCCACCGAATTAATGTGTGCAAGAGATAGCGAATCAATAAATAAATGCCAACCTCTCGGAGGTTTTTGTATGTAGAAGTTTATCAGAAACAAAATGGCCGAGTGTTCCGCTTTGCAGCTTGCATGATTAAAACAGACACACTTCCAACTTTAAAAAGTGGCTTATTTTTTAAATCTAAATAGATGTTCAAACGGCCCCAGACAATTTGAAATAAATACACTTTATAAAAATGCATAAGGGCTATTTGTGTGATGCCACAGTTTGTTTTACTCTATTAAAGACTTACAGTCTTAATTAATCCTTACATAAACTACAAACACCAGCCACTGTTACAACTGTTCAAAACTACTCTCTCAACTAGTTCAGACCAAATATACTAAATAGGTGAAATGCAATAGTCACCAGGGACCTGAATCAATCTCCCGAAGTTATGGTGAATAAATTCTACAAATATCCACATAAATACAGTAAGACGAGGATAAATAATCAGTGATACAAAAAAAGTCTCGCTTAAAACAATAAATACATATCATTTAGTCCAATGCAATCCTTACATTACTGAAGAATTCATAAATTAACTTCTCTGAAATAAGTTTATATGCAGGCAAGATCCCATCGTTCACAATTGGTCTAAAAACACCTCAGCATGACGCGCTGCTACTACTAATTGATCTATAAGACTTACCTTCAAGTACATCATTACCAGATTATTAGCCCCTTGGTTTGCAGTATATTGCACTGTCATGCTTTAAACAGCTATAAAAGAAAGGATCCTTTTCACTGACTTATTTAGAGTCGCAAAAAAAGAATGTGGCTGTTAGGGGAGAGAAATCCGCTAATACTGTTGACGCTCAGAGGAAAGTAACGCTGTAACGTCAGAAAAGTGAGGTAATTTAAACGTGAGTACATTTCGCTCCCTCAATCCGTCCCGGTCCACTACAGATGCGTTAGTTTGGGTGCTTCCTGAATCCTTCCCTGAGATGTGTGGTGAGAAGTAAGATCTGTGTATGTAGGATGAGGGTCACAAGGTCCATGGTGATGGTTGCCTGGGATCTGAGCAGCGCAGCTGTAGTCCACGCTAGCAGATGAAGGATGAGAAAGATGGCCGATATTGAACATTGGGCCAGGAGCTGGCATGGAATCAACAAAATTACCTCCGACATAAACGGGGCTGCCCTGCAGATTGGGATTGGCAAAGCCGCCGCTGCTTTGCATGGTGTGATGGTCATACTCTGCTCCCGGGTACCGTTTCTGCTGGGGTAAGCAGCTGCTGAGAGGTGCTGTGTAAGCAGCCAGGCCATACATGTTTTGCTGTGATTTGGCAAAGGATGTTGGCGAAGGAGCATCATAGCTAAGACTATTTACAGTTGGAAGCTGGCTGGAATATCCTACGTGATTTGGGCCACTTAAGGGTGGACTTCGGTCAGGGGACTGTCCTACAGGAGAGTGCATGATCCCTTTGGCTTTCTGGTCTTTTTTGTACTTCATTCTCCTGTTCTGGAACCAGATCTTTATCTGGCGCTCCGTCAGGTTCAGAAGATTGGCCATTTCCACCCTGCGTGGGCGGCAGAGATAGCGGTTGAAATGAAACTCCTTCTCCAGCTCCACCAGCTGCGCGCTGGTATAGGCGGTGCGGACTCGCTTGGAAGCCGGGCCGGGGGGACTTTTATCTTCGCAGTTGTCTCCTGCCGAAGGAAGAGAAACAAAGAAAGGGTGATTCTTGTATAGACCCTGACACAGCAGCCCGCTAAGGACGGGCCAGTGCTCTAAAGATCGTTCTGTACAAACCAAACCAACACAAGCCACTCTCCCAGTTCCGACGAGGTAAATGACCCGGCTCTTGTCAGGAACTGGAGCTGTGTGCCTGTCCTGTCTATGCAGACTCAGTCACACCGAACCTGTGCCAGTGGTTTGACTAGAAACGGATCAAATCCCGTGTACTTTGGTTTTGCTTTCCCCTGCTCTCTTCCAAGGGTGTATATTTACCACGCCGATGCGTAGTTGATGTAACATAGCCCTTCAGATATTACCAAACTGGAATTCAAAGTAAAATGAGACTTAATGGGCAGAGTACTGACGGTTTTAAGGGAAAGAGTGTGTCAGAGATTGCTGATGATTTCAATATAACCTCCTTTCATATCACAGTAATTAACGATGAGCTACACACTATTCCAGCTTTTGATAAGTATGCCCTGAGTATGAGCACCCTGAGGTACCCTTCAGAGAGGCTTTGGTGGCATCATATCCAAGTCCCTCTGTCTACGGGTCTCTCTCTCTCTCTCTCTTTTTTACTACTAGACCCAACTCCCGATCCTGTTCCCAATTTGCACAAGGTCAAAACTCCTATTACTTCAAATGGGAGCAGGCCAGGCTACTTTACCCGGATCCTCAATCCGAATTCTTTATCCGGATTCTGAAGCACCAGAGGCGGGGGAAGTCATTAGTAATTAGCAATAGTGGATAATAAAAGGGGTGAAAGTAAATTAGACATTGGGGGATTTCTGAATAGTCTCAATTTAGCTGAATGGAGAAAGAGAGGGAGGGATGAGGGGTCCCCCTTTCTTTTATCCCAAACCAGAGGAAAGGCCAAATGGCAGGATTTTAAACCAGCAGAACTGCTAGCAAGAGTAAAACAGACGGGGGATTGGCTTTATCGCTTTCAAATCAGAAGAGATGCTCCTGTTACTGGAAAAAAGATTGGGGACCTTTCCAGGGATGAGTGTTAGGAGTACGTGGTTTTCAGTGCTTGTGCTGTCTACATTTCTAAAGGCTACGTACTAGAAGCCATTTCGGAGTCAGGGAGAAAGGACAGATTGAAGCGTTTAGACGGAGGGCGAGGAAATGCTGTTTTCCTCTGCACGTCAGACGGGCTCGAATGGCCAGCAGGACTGTAAACCATAAGTCCAGTGGCCCCTCCCTGTAGCACTGCATTGCCTCCCCGAAAAGCCTCGATCAAAGCGCAGGGGACCGAAGCATCCCGCGAACTCAAGTTCCAATGGACAGAGTTGTTATTTACAGTGAAACAGGCCCCCAGCTGCAGAGGACTTGGCTTAGGAGCCCCTCACTCAACTATGCCAGAAGCCACAGAGTCGAGCACGTCAAAGATTTTAGGGGCACTCTTTCCCCGTGCTTCATTGGCCCCTCTGCCTCGCTGGGGAGGGGCTCTGGCCAGGCTGATCAGTGTGCTGCTTAGCAGAACCAGGGACAGCTGGACTTGAGGGGGACGTGAAGGGGTGACCCCAGGGAGGGGAGCGTGTCGGGTACCTGAAGCAGCGCAGGTGTTTTTCTGCTTGGAGTTCTGCCGGGACTCTTTCATCCAGGGGAAGATCTGTTTGCTAATGGTGGCCGTGGAAGAGCTGGAGGAATTGGGGCCGCCTTTGGTTTTTTTCGGGGGGGCCGCACTGGTGGGGTTCGGTGGGGAGGAAGGCGGCAGCGCAGGCGGCTGCTGCTGCTCGCCTATACCCGGGGGCTGACTGCCTGCTTGGCTGCCGCCGTTGGTCCGCATGCAGCTGCCATTCAGCTCGCTGCTCTTGTGGGTTGGGGCTCGGATGGGAGCCGAGCTCTGGATGGAGCAGGCGGAGCTCGGGTAGTCTGTGTCCAGGGCGGCTTGTGTATAAGGCTGGTGGGTCGAGCTGTAGCTGTAGGCGTCGGCTTTGCTGTACGTGTAGCCCCCGAAGAGCCCCGAGTTATCGTAGTAAGCGGTTTTCTGCATCTTGCTCTCTGGGATCGCCAAGGCCTGGGGACCCTGCTCAGATAACATTGACTAGGTCCCAGCGGCTCACGTGGTCGGCCTGGGCCACTCACTGCCTAGGAAGCCACCTATGGGGAAACAGCGAGAGACAAAAGAAACTTTAATTGAGAAGAACTGGTGTGATTTCGTATACTTTAAGGCCAGAAGGAACTATCCTGATCATCTAGTCTAGCCTCCTGCACATGGCAGGCCACAGAACCTCACCCACCCACTCCTGTCACAGGCCCATCACCTCTGGCTGAATAATGAAATCCTCAAATGTTGATTTAAAGATTTCAAGTTACAGAGAACCAGCCTTTTACTCCAGTTCAAACCAGCAAGTGACCACCGCCCCACATGCAGAGGAAGGCTGTAAAACCCTCCCTAGTATCAGGAAGGCAGACATCTCCTTTAGCCACACACACCCCTTACAAACACACTCCCTCACATGCTTACATATAGACTCACATACACTAACTCATTCACTCATCCTATACTTTGACACTCAGACATGCTAAGATTTGGCTAGTATACAGATTCCTTTCAGACCCTTCATCTGTAAATTGCACAGGCTTTCCTTTCAGATCTTTTATCTTCAAGAAAGAGGGAGACTATGGATTAACTTGACTGAGAAGCTACACTGAACATAAAATGGGTGAAAAATACATTAAATACTTTTTAAAAGAATCCTAATCTAGTTGAATAGTCAGACAGATGCCTCAAAGTCTTTGAGGAGTTTCCTTCTTTCTCTCTAACCAAAAAGCATAGATCAAATCACCTAAGTGAAGGGATGAGCATTAGGCTCCATCTCTTTAAAATCTGAACAGATCCTCTGATAATGGCGGATATAATGTGCGAACAATGGCCCAGACTTTAGGAACACATTTCAGGATGTGTTTAATTTCCTCTTGTTCTAGTTTTTTTAAACTTTGAACTGACGCTTAATACACCTGAACCATTAAAAATAAATGTGTTAGGCTTTCAGTGAAAATTGTGAGGTTACATTGTCCCCCAGTATCATTCTAGTATAACTTTAGAGCGTTTAAAAATCCCAGATGTACGGAAATTAACTACTGTATTTCTTTAGTGTATTATATCTATGCATTTTTCCTTCCCTGTGTTTCCCAGAATGTGTGCAAAAATCACATTTACCTCTCTCTCTCTCTCTCTTTCTCTCTCTTTTGTTTTTCCGACTGCACTGTCATATTATCATTTATATTGTCATCATATATGTGTATATATTTATCCATAATATGCATGCATCCTATACCATTTTGGTATAAAGATTAACCCACATCCCTACTTTCCCTCCCCCCCTTTTTTTTCTGGGCACGCAGGCGCAAAAGTGTGAAGTGTGAAGCCCCAGATGACATGATGGATTGAACCCGAATTAGAACCTGAAAAAAATAGAAAATTCCATCTCTATTGTAAATTCTGCCTCTTTTTTCCTTGAAAGATTCCTAGGAAGTTAAAGTATAACTAACACCATTCAGTAACTCAAGTTTGCACTATAAAGAAAAACGCTTAGGTCAGCTACCCTATCTTAACTCTTTGATTAATTTTACCCTGCTCAAAATCTTTCACCCAACGTTTCTTGTTAGTTCTTGTCAATCGAATCAATCTGAGACCATTTATATGGTTTGGTTTTCATTACAAACCATGTTTTGTTTATGTACTAGCATGCAAAAGTTATTTCAGATTTCAGTATTTTCCTATCAAACTGCTTGGTCTGGAAAATGTAGCCAAATGAAAAGTTCTCCATATAATCAATATTTTTACTCGGATACAAAAGCTATATACAATTTGTTGAATGTAAATCTGTATTTTATAGCTTACAAGATGGGAACTAACACGTAGTTTTGATAAATGCTATAATATGGCTGATACAACTTCTCTACTGGTACCCTTAGTATTTTTATGCGTTTTTTAAAATTGCATCTTTTATCCCGTCTAGCAAAATAAAGTACGGAATATTTCACCTGACAATGTAGCCTGTATTTGAGAAAATCTCAGGCGTCTCTCTTTATTGTATAAATGTATTAACATATTACAGGAAAGTGGTTCTAAAATATTAAAGCAGTCTCTGTTAATTGTTATTCTTCAGTCAATATTTATGCAAAGCTTTAGTAATATGTTACTTTTAATTTTATTTGTCTGCTGCTTCCCCAATAGTAATTGCTATAACTAAGTAGCATTGGCATTCTTTCTAAAAGTTACCATAATATCTATTCTGAACTAAAATAACGAAAATTCGAGGTCACTTTAAATTGTTTATCCTGCCATCTGATCTTAAATACAGCTTCACCAGAGGAGTTATTTTCTTTCATCAACATGGGCTGATAACTCTTTGGGAAGCTGGTAGGGGCAGAAAACCTGCGGCTTCGCCCCAACCCCATCCTGAAGAATGCAGTAACCAGAGGCCTAAGAAGTAATAAGCGAAGATAATTGTGAATGCTAAGAAAATACAACGATCCAGACTAGGCAATCTATGGTTTAACTGTCTTTCATAATTTACTTTTTGCAAATAATCCACTCAATTAATAATTTTCTACCTTTATCATTTACATTTTCAGGCATAGTCTGGACTGAAGCATTTTGTTAACACAACACAGCATTGTGCTTATTCTTTTATATACAAAATAAAATATAGTCCCCAAAAGAATACACAGAATCTTAAGAAACAATATTACTGAAAAACTGTTAAAAGCCTTATTTCTTTTCTGAAATACCAACTACTTGTGAACTCTGCTTGAACCTAAAAAGGAGGCAATGGGCCATAAATCACACGGACAATGCTCAACTGTTTGGTGGCTCATCTTTTAGATCTTTTTTTTTTTTTAAATCTTTACACTTTTTGACTTTACAAGTGCAATGCATAAGGCGATGTTTTTGTATGTAACACCAAAAGCACGGGCTCAACACTTCTTGGTTTGGCCAAAGACAGTCTGCAGCAAAGTAACCTCCAAATGGTTTGCTAGCGTTGTGGGGGGTGGACTGAAATGCAGTAGGGCTAGGCAACCACAAAGTACCCATGTCTGTGTTTCGAGTTTCCCTTCCTACTATCCAGAGAGGTTAACCTCATCTGAACCGTTATACATTACATATGGTAATGGGGCTCTTTGTCCTGTCTCTGTTTTCCAAACGCTTGGAAGCTACTTCGCCTCATACACTTATATCTGGAAATCAGACTAGATATAAGAGATGCAGGTTTGTTAGACAAAATACCCCATTCTTCCACTTACACACACACACACACACACACACATCCCACGTGTGTGCACAAAATACAACAACCTCAAATGTTGACAAGTTTCCAGTCTCACAATTGTGTTCGATCCGACACCCAAACATATTCATATTAAGCAGTTCTCTACTAATACTTCCACTACACTTAATTCTGCTTAGGATCAATATCTAATATGATACGGAATAAATAACAGGCAGTAAGAGCGGCCAGTGGAGTGGTTATTAAGCAGCCGGAGCTCTCACGGTGCATATCAATGCACCTGTCACTGTGGTTTGTAACAAAATTTATGACTGCTAGTACTATGGCAGTAAACGCTTTAGTAAGGAATGAAAAGGAAAACACTTCTCAAGACCTAGCACTTTCAGAAGGGTAAAACAGGCTACGCGTAGGAGGAAGACCAGCAAAAGAATTCCCTACTCCGCAAATTTTCCTTATTTGCAGCCTGGAAGGGGACATATATATAAAGTAGTCAAACAGTTTCCTTCTTTACTGCGTCTCTTGTCAGAGCACAGACTATTTTCCTTCACGTTTCCAGGGACTTTTGAACCCCTCTCTGCTTATCTGTTGTTATTGTTTTTACCCTGCTTCCCCACCTCCCCCAAATCACGTTCTACTCCTGGTCTTTGGATTTGCTGGAACATAGTTTACCAAACGGACGGATAGACTGCAACATGAAGACTTCCAGGAAATTAACTCTCCCTCCCCCCAATTTTTGTGCGGGAAGAGTGACTGATGTAATTTGACTATGGCTGCCACTGATACTGAAATGTATTCGTGTTATAGATTGTACACAATGGCTCACAGAGGGAGCCGCGTTTTAATAGGTGTATGTTCTGTTTCTCTTCCAGTGATTTAAGACTCTGTGAGCCACCTGATAACATTGGTAAATCAGGATCTAAATGTTGGTCTTTCTATCTGACCGATTTCAGAGTTCTTCTGAGCGAAGCAGAGGTCTTCCTGAAATATTGTTTTGGAGCTTTAATATTACTATTTGTAACCAGCCTTTGGTACATAAAAGCAGCATTAAAATGTTACTGGCTTTTAAAGAGCCCTACTGAAGATGGTGACAAATTCCCATTCGGTGGGAGCAGGATTGGTTCGAATGTGGTTCTATTAAATGCTTTTTTTTGTTTTCCATTGGAGTTTAAATAGGTTTAATAATGAGCTACTTTAAATGGGGCGACAGCATTTTAAAGAATGTTATTTAGGTGAAATAGCTTTTACAGTAATAACATTCTTCGTGTTTGAAGTTTTGGGTTAACGCTATTAAACAGCAATAGATTTGAAAATCGATCATCAGGTACCATGTTATGTATGTTAGCTTACACTAGGGAGATAAACTTTCAAGCATTTTTGTTCTTTACATATGATAAATTATCTGTGGCAACTACTTCTGTAGCAAGAGAGGTGACAAACTATAGAGACAAAAGTAAAAACTCACCACGCTTATGTTTTTTCTTGATTTTTGACTTTAACTCTTTTTGTAGGATCTTCGGATTCCTTTGGATAATCCGTTGGGACGTACCTGAAACAAAATTGAGAACTTTCAGTGGAAGCTGTTTTGTTTTGTACTTCCTTCTTGATAAATATCACAATAAATTCACGCCTTTTATGTAGCAATTCTCTCTGACTCCAACTCCACATTAGCTCTTTTACTAGACAGATAACAGGTGCTTCACATGTATTTACTGTACTAACAACACTTTGAAAAGAAGCCTTTGGTTTTTATACGATTCATCGGCAAAACTTTATAGAGGCCTTGTTCGACTTTTTCAGACAATTCAGTACATACAGGGCGTGAGTCTAGCGCTCACGTAATCAGAGCCCCAAAGCTTTTTAACCATTTGGCGGAACATTTGATAAAATAGCTCCAACTCAGATCGAAATAAAAAACAGTTCCACATTCTCATGGCTTCTTTAATGCTTCCAGCACCTCCACTAGTTACTAGCTACTGTACCAACGTTCTTTGCCTCTTAGGGGGAGGAAGTGCAAACATGGCAATTATGAATTGTAACCCCCCCCCCAGCAAAAGGATGTAAATCCATCTAGCGCTGTACAGTGTAAGTGATAACTGCATGCATTTGGCATGGGTAAGGAAAAGCATGCACAGGTCCAGTCATCACACTAAGAAGAATGGAAATTTACTAGAAAGACCACAGCGCCATTACCACGGCGCTCATACATTATGTATATCTGTGGTTATCTCGGGTTTGTCACACCAAGAAAAAAACAAGGCACAGCACTACTGTACAGATCTGCCACCCCCGGCTCTGATCTACTAATTTAGGAAAGAGGTATAAAAATCCAGTTGGAACTACCTTTTAAATTCCCTATTTAAGATACACAGAAAACTAAGATAGAAATTTAGCCTGCTGTACACACACACAACAAATATTTGTGGATCAAAATGAACATTTTGCATTTCATTCTGTAATGTGTCGACTAAGGAATTTGAGAACATGAAGAGTGTCAGAAAATCCCCCACAAAAAAAAACCCCAGGTCATTATAAAGACGATATCTAGCAACCATAAGCCTTTGAAATGACCTTTGGCTTGTAAAGCAATAACTCACCACTTAATGAACAACCAACGGAAGCGCCTCCAATAGTTCACAACATAACAGAGCTTGCAACTTTCCACCAAATCTTCTCTGTCCCTGTCCAAACCCAATATGATGCAGCATTCCCCCTCCAATTCACCTTAATTTATGCTGGCAAACTGGAGTTTGGGAAGTAGAGCTTCATGATTACACACGATGTTCTACCAGGTTCCTGGTCCAAGGCCTGTCCCGGTAACGTTTTATATAATATATTCACGTGGGCGTACGTCAACTTTAAGTGCTTTATTTTTTTTTTTATAACGGAGTTCATTAGAAATAGAATAGTACGTTACAGTGTGTAAGAAGAAAGCATAAATTCGGTACCCCTTAGCTCTTGACCGGAGAGATCATAATATTGTTATCAAGTCATTGTTATCCGCTGTTGATTAATATGGTAAGTTTTCATTTTGTGTCTAATTAATTATCGACTTCTGATCCTTTTCGCAGCAGCACTTCAGCAGTTCAGTGATATCATCCTTACTCTAGACAGGGGTTACTTTGCAACCAATTTTGCAAAGATATATTTTCTACCCTAACTGCAAGCAACATCCGAAATTTGTATTTGTAAGCATCTGATGGTTAAAGACGTTGGCTTTATACCATCTTACCGAAGCTTCGTCAAAGAAAGAGAACTGAGCTCTGATAAAAAGTTGCCAGGGATAAATCTTTAGAACTATTCAGGCATGGACCCAATATAGGTATTATTGAAATTTTAGGTGAAGTTATAAGTGAGTGCTTCCATCGAGCCAAATGAAATGCTGCTTGCAGTAATTGGATTCAACTGACTAACTTGGCAGGCCAGCAGCTTGGAGGCATCCAGCTAAGAAAAATGTTCCCTGCCTTTAAGTTCTGATCGAGCAGAGCACACGCAATTGACAAAACAACTTTCTTTCAGTCTTTTCACTGTTCTGCATAAATATGGGTGAGCATCTAAAATGAAGGAAGATTTGCCTAAGAGATATAAAGACTTCTGTTCAGATTTTGTCCAGCAGTGCCTTATTCTGAGCTTCTGTTACCCAACACAAAGGTTGGATGTTATATTATGCTCATTTCAATAGGTATAATCGGGAAAGATCTTCCATAATTCATACATTTTAAAAGGTAGCAAGTTATTTAAAACATGAACTTTGCATTTAGTGGGAGGTTCTGGCTATTTTAAACAGCAAAAAGTTGAGTTAAGGTTTACACATATTTCTGTGAGATCCATTTACTTTTATTAAGCAAAATAGGTATGAAATTTGTTTGTATTTTATTGGTTTTAGACCCCAAACCCTCCACTAAATATCCCCACGCTCTCTCATTTATCAGTTGATCAAACTATGGAAATAGGTTTAAAGAAAACTTCTTGGTGCATGAATAGCAAATAGTACTTCAACAGCATGTGTGACTGAAATAAATAAATAAATAAATAAATAAATAACCAGTAGCTCAGATAGAAATACAGCATCAAATGATAGGTATGAACCAAAGGCTAACCATACCTGAGTATGCGAGTGGATTTGCGAAGAGCATTCAAGAAACCATATGTGGAGGCTCCCTTACCGGTGAATTTATTTCAAATCGTACAGTAAAGATCAACCCGGCTACACCCTGCCCAGCAGTCCAAGTAAGCGAATTAATAGGATGCTCTATAGTATTTTGGCAGTGACAGTACATGACAAAGTTTTTCTTTCTTTTATTTGTTCAATTGTCATTCCATACTTGAAACCACCAAAAACAGGTCCGGGGCAAATATATTCTCCTGAACGTTTGTAAAATGTTTCGTTTCCAAAAACAAAACAAACCCCCCCCCCCAAAAAACAAAAAAACAAAAACAAAAAACAACCCCCCCCCACATATCATTAAGATGATACTGCTATAAACGTAGATGGAAACATATTTCTATACATATTTTTCAGTCAGATCACAGATTACTAGCCAGTTATATTTAGTCTCGGACTAAAGGCGATAATGCAGATCTATGGTTAAAGGTTCCATTTTGTCATGCAATTGCTTACCTGTGTATCAATTTATCATAAACCTGGGCTCCTCGGTCTCAATATCTGTGCTTTCAGTTGTTAGAATATACCCTTCACCCTTTGTCCGCAGACAGTCCTGTCCTAAGCCTGGGCTTGCGGTGTGACAGGCATTTTCATACACCAGCATTCCCGATAGAATGAACAGAGGTTCAGCCTCAACTACCAATAAACGAGGGCGAGTGGAGTTCGGAATCTGTTGTTGTTATTGTTGTTGTTGTTTTGTTTTTAATTCATTACAACAGTCCTTGGCAATCAACCCCAAGGAATAAAAGTCAGCAATTGGCCGGCGAGAGTGCTTTGTTTTGGTTTTAAATCGTGCGGCCATTTATGATTTTTTTTTTAGAAGAGCAACAGAAACCCCTTTATAATCAGACATACAGGCGCTGCCTTAAAATACAAGCATATTTGTTCACGTGACCCTGAGAGCAGATTGTTCTGATTGAGGCTGGAACTTTCACAATGTCCGTCCTCTCTAAACCCCCCAGAATTCACATGTTTGGGGGTATTACACAGGGATCCAAAAGCACCCATAAGCTTCACTTGAAAGCAAGGCAGCAGTCCAATGCAAATCCGTCTCACATTCCTGGGTTGTATTATTGTTTTAGGTACCAAATGGCAACAATTCCTTCCTGACGTGTTACAAATCCCTTTGGATAAATTGATCTTTTAGGTAAAGTACTTTGAAGACCTTCTCTTCCTAGATAAATCAAGCATTCTTAGAGCTTCTGGACAAATTGAACTACCCCAGCAACCCCTCAGTGGAAGGATCCCTTAGTCCATGAACACTCTATAATCTCTATTATGTCAATCTTTTTTCCTTGTGAGTAAAACAAATACACAAGACATTAATTTGAATGGTAGATTTTTTCAGCCATTGCCGATCAAATACATGATTAAATCAGAAATGTCCGATAGAAGATGAAAATAATGTTATAATGTTATAATAATGTTTGGATTTTATGTAACCGAAAATATGGTTTAATAAAAACTCTGATGTACAAATGTACACTACAAAGCTGTCTGAAATGTTCTAGGTTTTACTAGTATGCACTAATCTTTGTTTTCTTCTTCTCTATAGGAGGAAATATTTGGGTAAACTCGGATTTTCCAGATCGGAAGACTAAAGAAGCCTTAGAAAAATCGCCTTACTTTTCTGTTTGTGCACTGAGTCTGATCTCGCTCTCTCTTTCTCTCTCTCTCTCTCTCTGTATATGTATATACATATATACACAGAGAGATAGAAAAAGCACTATATGTATATATGAATACCTATACATGTACACACAGAGTTAGAACACTCTTTCTATATGTAATGAGTGCATACAAATGTCCTGAACAGCTCAAATTCTGTAAAAATGTATTTTAGTTCTTTTGTTTGATTTTCTAAGGTGTCTGTAGCTATAAATACACCACATCTAATCTAGGATCTACTAAGATTTCATTACCATCCAAAGCATTGAGATCTGACAGTAACGTATTACCTTACAATACTACCCTTAAGTGTATTGTAACATTTATCTAAATTACTTTGCTTTTCCTGACTTTGCAAACAAGTTATAAAAAGATTGCAGTCCAGTAACTGAAGCACGCGTTCAAGGTAAATTATTGTTTCGGACTCCGGATTTGTAATCTTGTATTTCTTGGAAATGATGTACTTGAATCTTGCGTCACGTAAAAGTCAATTGTTCTTTGCATCATTTTCTGCCAGCCATATATTTCACTACCAGTGTATCTATCTGTATATCTATCTGTATTTATATAGAGGTATGTATGTATGTATATATGTATGTATAGAATAGGTTCACACATTTTCTAATGACGAAAATCTCGTTTGCTCGTTACACAAAAGTGAAAGTGCAAAGTGCGCCATTAATCAAGTAAAGATCAAGAGGAGGGATTGAGAAGGGAAATCTCCCTTTTTATGCTTAATTTGTAAATATCTCTTAGCAAAAGTCACACGCCACCGACGGGTTCATTTAAGTTATACTGCATAAACATAACAACAACAAGAACAACAAAAATTAAGACAGTGAGCGGGGACAGCAAAAGCAATAAAGAAGTGTGAAACTCCCGCCATACTAGGACTCAAGCTTTGAGTGAATTTGTCTCCAGTAAAGGATCTGAAGACTCCTTCAGTCGGAGCATATGTTCATAGAGCAATAAAACAGAAAGATTTACAGTCTTCGCCCGCCCCCCAGCAGCCTCGCACCCTTTCAGGAATTACTTACGATGATTTATAACAACAACTCTGGCAATTGTCAAACTGATCAAATATCCCAGGCTATATACAGGAATAAACGTTATTATTAAAGGGTTTCAATTTATGTTCGGGGCCATGATACCGCGTGGCTTTATGGAGTTTGGTTTCTTTCTGGGCAAAGAGGATAATATAAACTTCATTGATGAAAACAGAGGAGTTATCGTGAAGCAGCAAAGCTGGTTTTTAGTCACCACCAACGCGCATACGCGTTTGTCATCTTTGAATAATTGAATTAATGTGTTATTGTTTGAATGTATAATTCATAACAGAGGAAACTTTGCCTCTGTCCTGCCACCGAAACGGAAGTCATAAAAGCTACAATCTGGGTTTTTAGAAATTACTCCAGCGAGGGATAATAAAGAATATCCTGTTCGCAGAAAGTATTTCCAACTGACTATGGGGTTTAACAGAGAAATCTCAGCCTTGCGGTCTGTGTTTTATAGGATGGGGAAACATGGTTTCTATATAAAAACTGCAACCCTCAGTTTTCTTTCAGCGTGGACTACTGGTTCAAAGTTCTAAGAGTGTGTATCTCCCGCAAAATGACCTAAAGACTGGGGGCTTTTCATAGGGTTTTTTCCCCGTTTTCAACATCCTCTCCCCGCCTCCCCCCCCCGCCCCGCCACTCTCTCTCTCTCTCTCTCTCACACACACACACACACGAATGCTCTGCTAATCATTTCAGATAGAAACCGAAAAGGACCAGATCAAAACTGGGCATTTATCTGACGAAAATAAAAATAAAAATAAACCCTTCCCTTTGTGTAACGGTAGCAGTAATGTCGGGGGAGGGGGAGAAGCAAGCTTGGAATTCATTATCTGCTGCTTAAAACCTGCCTTGGGTAAAATTTCAACTCAGTTTTATAGCCTTCTATTATGACGCAAAGAAAAATTTACGACCCTTGCTTGAAAAGGAGTTCAGGGCCTTTTCTCACCATTTTAAGAATGGGCAGCAGATGCCCTGACAGCCAGTATTGTTCCCAGTAAGACATAAGCAACCAGTAAATCTTCTCCCATTTCACCATACATACAGCTCTTAGTAAACCCTTTCCTTTTCTTTTGCCTTCTTGTTATCTCTACGTATACACGCACACACATAAACAAAAAGAGAGCCTTTGCCCAACATCATAATTTTTCATAAAGTGTAAATCTTTTCCTCTGAATCTAAGGTCACCACACAAGCCTAGACCAACTTCTGACTATTGCATGGTTCCAAATCGGGAAGCAAAGGGTCCTATTTGTCAAGCATTTGACAGCTAAGTTCATTAAGGATTAAAATATGAAGGAATAAAAAGTAAAATGTTTACATACCAAGCTTCTCTTTTTCGGCTGCTACCAAAGATATAGGTGCGCAGGGAAAGAGCCTGCACCCTTTGTATATTATATTCTTGGGATCTCTTCAGTTTTCAAGTCTGATAGAGTCCTTTGCTTGGCAGATTAATGACGACTCCGTGTTTCTTAAGGGACGTGCTGAATTAATTATTTCGTAAATCACGTGGTCAGGACTTGTAGAAATCTATTCTTATCATCTTCCTTGCACTTTGAATTCTGCCTGTTATGACTGTTCCTAGCAAGACCGTTTTGGTCTATACGGTTACAAAAATCAGGGGGGAAGGATAACAAACATGGCCGTTGGAAGCTCTGTGGCTCTGCATTAAAGGTCCCTATTTACTGTACTGTACAGTGAGTGGTGTTTGCTATTGACTCTGCCTTTGCTCCTCATTCTTACCTTAACGACTAGTGGTGATATAATATACAGAATTGTATTGATGTATTGGTAGTAACAGGAGGAGCCATTAGACACAAGAGGGTCAAAGTATAATCAGAAAATGTGTCTGAATATTTAAACTTAAGGTCTGGGTACTTAAAAATACACGTGCACGCACATCTTCTCCCCCTGCATTCCATTGTGTTCAGGGCACAAGCCTTATTTATTGCATGATGTTCATTTCACATTCCAAGAAGGATAATCTATTTTTGGACTCATGCCTTGGCCACTCTTCAAGAAAAGATAAGTCATATGTGACATATATCTGTGCTAAAAATAGTGCAATCGACCTCTTGTAGTAAGAAATTGTTGTCGTTGTTGTTTGAGGTGCTTATATCAAAAAGAAAGGAGGAGTCTGCTACAGGTTTATAGGAAAGTTCAAACACTCTATATTTGGCTTTTATTTGTGTCTTATTGAGATCAGCAGAAATAATTAAGCCTACTTCTAATTTTAAAAAAACCTATCCCCTTTCACTCCGATTTTTAAATTTAAAATTAATTTATGTCATCACCCACCTAAAGTACACGCCACTTGTGTAGGGTTCGAGGTAACTTCAGGTGTGGTTTCTTAATACTTACCAAGCGTGCATGCATCCGTGTGTCACTTAAGAGTGGCTTGTTAAATGTAAAACATTAACAAATGGATGATGGGCACTTTCACTGCGGCCTGAATGTAAATACAAACTTTAGTTTGTCCCAAAGTCACACCATTCTAGTCAATGTCATTAGAAAAACTGTTCAAAGGGACAGTTGGATATATTACTTCGGGATTATAGATAAGCTTCCATGTTTTTACTATATTATGCAGGGGAGGGCCTGTATGATTAGAGAATGGAGATCCATATGATAAGGACTATTTGGCCAAGGTACAAAACAGAATGTGTTTCTCTACACCTTTTATTATTTCAAATATATATATGGAGGACTTACATCAAAACTACAGGAGACAGTTAGTATAAATAATACTTTAATCAATGGCAGCAAAACATTGATAAAGTCCATAAAAAGATTCACACGCTGACAGATATCATAGTATTGTTGGACAATGCATTCTTATAACAAAAGGTTACACAACATAGTATCCGTGATAAGCAAAAAGAAACGTCTTTACTTCTTAAGCTATATAACCTAACCTCTCCGGAGAGTTAAAAACACTTCTGCCTTTTCTATGGAGTAAAACGGGGATAACAGCAAATTAGTGTTTGTAGTCATCGGTACACAGAAATTTACATTCCTGAACCTTCAGAACACTGGCAGAAATATAACTAACATATTTTGGTACACTGGTGCCTCAATTCAAGTATTTTCAGAGTTTACTAATGTGATTGTAACCAAGTAAACTTAAATTCCTGCTCAAACTGGACTGGCACATAGGATTTTAAGAGCTGTGTCTGAACCAAACATTCGTCCAGAAGATATTAACATTTCAAAAGACAATGGGTCAACTTCTACTCTCAGATATATCCTTGTTTTACTTCAGTAGATTTCAAAGGGGGAGCGGGGAGAGGCTGCACCTGAGAGCAGAATTTGACCCTTTCACTTTAGGTATTCATCTCAACCTAAAACATACAAAACAAGAATTTGTTTCTCTGAGCAAGTTACTTTAAAGAATATTACACAAAGGAAGCCAAAGTTGTGGACTTCCCCCGCAAAATAACGTCTGCATGGTTCACAATGTGCTCAGCACAGACATTAGGTAAACAATAGCAGGATTTATCTTAAATCAGACTAACCGGGGCTTCTTTTTCAGATTAATTTTGACAGAAAATACATGATTTGTGACAACTGTGTAGAGTTAACCTTGATTTTAAAAAGAATTGCTTTCAGCAACTTCGAAACTTGTCTGA